ATGGTTGTAAAGTTACTAATAATTAGTTGAGTAGGCACCAAGAGATTTATTGGATTGGTTGATAATACATATTTTCCCTTAAATTTAATGTCCATTTATTGCACTGAGAAAACTTATTAAGCTAATGAAGACAAAACCTCTATTTAATCTCGAAATTAGCATGGTTCATCAACAGATTAAATTATAGTATATTCAAATTAAATTTGTCTTGCTGAAATATCATTAAGATAATCAAAAAGTTAAGTGGACTCTTATTCACTTTAATACCAAAAATCAAAAAATCTGAAAATAAGAATATTCTTTCTCTCAAAGTATTAATCACCTGATTCATATTTTTATTCATTATAATATGTAGGATGGCAATAAATGTTTTAACTAATAACAATTTTGTTATAACATTATTCATATTTGTTACAAACTACAATGGTTTAAGTCAATGAATCTTAGTAATATTTTTCTAGTGCATTCTTAACTTATGATTTTTCATAACATATTCTAGTCAAATATTTATTTTATTCGGTTAAAAGAAAGTAAGGATTAACTTGTAATATTTCTGATTCGCTTCTATCCATACATGCTCTACAATTAGCCGGGCATTGCAGACAAATCCCATTTTCATTCTAACTTTTCATAAAACCAGAAATTGTTTCCAAACATTAAATACAGGTTGCTTTACCATTAATAATTTCACATTTATTGCAAGTTTAATCACAATCTTTTATACATTGTTATTCATATAAAATATAACCATAGTGACATGATTTGCATACTAAACTCAAATCTGATTCAGAATTAGTTGAAGCATAATTTTCAAATGGATGATCATTATTATGATTAATAACAAATTTATAAAATGCCTTAATGCTCCATTTCCAATAATCTCTATACTTGCTATTCTATTAAATGCAAGTCTTGCAGCTCTAGCCACATTAAATGCATTAACCTGTTAGGAGTGCTGAATAATATCCGTCCTCGCATACTATACAAAATGAATCACTATCAAAGTAATTGTGAATACATGAGACACAGTTTGGAATCGCTATGCAATCCGATACTTAAACGGCATCTTGACTGGTTTTACTAATTAGACAAGTTTTCTTTAAATCCTCATTTTAGATGATGGCATTTTAACAATCGTCATTTTCTTGTTTTAATTCACACTTTTGATTATTTTAATTGTAATGATAATTCTCTTTACATAAAGCACACCCTACCTTTACTTAACTTTAATTGTAATTATATACTTTAAAATTGATATCTAAAGTTGTTTGTAATAGACCACCATTAAGAATATAATCAAAGCAGTATATGCAATTTTCTATTTTACATTAACTGCAATTCTACCCATCCATCGATAAATAATATTACGATGGTGATCCTTTGCAATAATTACAGAATCTGGATTGATCACACTACTGACAAAAATCCCCACAAGAACTGCATTGGTTATTAATTTTTATTGAATTCTCTTAGCAACTAGTACAAAAATAAGATGCATCATTGTAAGTATAGCAAGTTAAGCAATTACCACATTAAAAACATAATTTGTCTTTACCTTTATAATAATTGGAAAAGCAATTTGAACATTCAAATGAATTCGAACATGTCTTGCATCCAAGTATACAAGGCTTACATTCTTAATCTTTAAGATAGTAGCCATCTTTGCATGTTTGATAACTAACGCAACCTTGACACAATTTAAGCTGGCGAATTCCATCTACATTTGTTACCATGTTATAAAATAGATAATCATTTTGGTGTCTTTATTTTACTTAAAACACATAGTTCTAATTTTATTTATAAGTTATTGCCATCATTTTACATGTTAATGTTATACTAAATTATTTTGGTGCTACCAAACAATCTAAACAAGTCATTTATGTACCTTAATTGATTTCATAATTAAAGGGGCTTAATAGTAACTACATAAATACCATTATACGCAATTATTTTAATATTAAAAATAGCCAAAGTTGCATTCTATATTATCCGAATTGCAATTGCTATAGCCTATTTGCTAACAACTTAGTTCTACTTCTTAAATCTATATCTGAGGAAATGCTTTAGTCACGGATTAGCATTCTTAAACTTAATCTTTATCCACATATCTTTATTAACAAGCACAAGTTTTTTCTTTTTGTGAAAGTTGTCTAAAGCTTTACTCAGGACAGGTTAGACAGTTATATTTAGTTGGTCCATCACATGTCAAACAAGAATAATGACATGTAAATGTGTTGACATCTACATATGGATCACATAATAGATCTAAGGAAACGTCACTAATAAATCCGTTTAAATAATTTGTATTGTAATCATCACCTCCTAAGAAAACATAAAATTAAGTTCCAGAGAAATGTCGTATTGTTTTACTCCAAGTAAAAGAGCGAACCTAATTGATTGAAGGAAAAAAGATAGAAAAGATTGGCTATTCATTATTATTTATTGTTCCTATTTCATATACAAAATAATGCCATTGTATAAACAACACTGAATACTCGTCTCCAAATTATCGAATTCGATCATCTTCATTTGTCTTGTATCTCTTTTTTATAGGAAACTAATATGTATAAGTTGATATTTCAAACCCATTCTCAGCAGGTACATTACTCTAAAAATACTTTAACAGTAGATCTCTATCTCCAATCTTAACGTCATCTCCATAATCTGAATTCACCGTTATTCTAAAAATTGTGGTCTCCAAAAAGATTTATATGCTTTATGCTAACATAACCCAACCTTTAAAAACATATTTTGGTGCATCATTTTCTTCTGTGGTTATTTTAAGATAATGACTTCCATCCATTTATTGATTATTTCCACCTATTTAATAACTCATCCCATAGCAATATGTATATTCATAAAAATTTGAAGCACATGAGTCTATATCTAAGAAAACGTTCAATGAGTCAGCAGAAAAAGTACTAGTGAGAGGGCCCTTGAATTGGCTTAACAATATCAAATTACCATCTTCATTTTTATATGAATAAACATTTCCCACCTTATGGTTTAATTTTTAAACGTATTCTGGTAAATCTTTTATAACCTAAATCGATAAAGCTTCTCTAGAATTGTAAAATCCTATAACAGTTTATTTTTAAATATTGTCAAAATAACAATAAAACAATATCCATTACCCTTCATATAAAAAATTATCAAATTCAAAGGATAAAGTATTTATTGAAGTCTTAAAAGAGTAAAACACTTTGTGGTTAATTATTTACTTATTTGAATCTATATCAGCAGATACAACCAACCATGTAAACTTATCATTGCTTTGCTCTATTGAATAAATAAATTGACCTCCTTCTATAATAATTTATTCGTTCAATCTACTGGAATCCTAGGAGACCCTATTAGCTAGAATATGATAAATTCTGTCTTTACATAGCTCACTTATTTATGTCAATGGTTAATAATTCATCCAAACTCCAAATCCTTTATTCGTCCTGCCTTAAATGATATCTTAAGGTAAGGCTTCTTCGATAGAAAATTAGTTGTTGCTTTTACTTAAGAGAGGCATGAAGGTTGAAAATTAGCAATAATTATGTACACATCTATAATAAGTATAATGTGCTTACTAAAATAATAAGATGAAGAGCATTAAGTCAAAAATGTTTATAAGCATTAATGTCTATTCGATGTTTTTATTATAAAAAATAGTGAATTAATTAAAGAATCAATTTGAATATTCCTTAAATATACTTAAAATTCAATTTAATACTAATATTAATTTAGGGTAGTAATTTCTCAAAGATTAATGACAAAATCGGAATGGTAGTATAATAATATTATTAGTAAATTTAATATCGTTTTTATGAAAATTTCTTCAACTATTTGCCCTTTAAGATTGTTAATTTATTCGAGTATTAATAACCAACTAATCAACAATCTTTATTTAGCAAGTAGAATCATAGTTCTTTATTAGTTTTGTACTTAAATAAACAGTATTTCATATTAGTAACTTGTAAAACTGATAATAAATATATAATTTCAGGAAATATTTAAAATAATTTGATTTTATGTGAAATATAATTATTTAATATGAGCATCAAAATTTATATTGTTCATTGTTTCTTTATATTATTGAGATAGATCACAATTTAGTATTTAACTCATTTATTCATTATACTACTGTCCTTTTAATCTTTAGAAACTATTACTATTTACCTATGATTTTTCTTAAAATTCTAACAACTGCATTAATTTAAGAAAATTTCAAAAGAGATGAAGGTTTAATAGATTCTCCAAACAGGAAAATGATCGACAATAGAATTATTAGAGCTGTGAAGGCTCAAAATGCATTTCATATCGTTATTTCATTTATGATTCTTTAATCCTATAAAAATGCACATACTATATTAAAAAAATCAATTAATTAGTTTTTTTACTTTATAATAAGTTTATTATTTTTGGTTTTCCAATTTTAGTATTTGCCTTCCTTGTGATAAGTTTTTTTCAAAGAAATTAGTGGATTAAAGTGAAGATGATATAAGGTTGGGTAATGGATTGTGGCTAATGATAATATCTAAAAATACTCCTAAATCCCTTATAATAATGAATATCATCGTTATATATAAAATTATGAAGTAATTACTTTACCTATAGAAATAAAAATGGATGAATTATAAATACGTAATATTAAATATAATAAAATTAATTATGTAAATTGGATAGATTTGATTAAGTAAGAATTTAAAAAATATTTAATTGGTTTTTCTCATTGTAATATGT